TCAGTGAAACTAGTGGTCAAGACCCGAAGACCCGGTATGGTTGGGTCAGCATAGCCTCCCCTAGGACCCCAGCCGGAGCACGAAGGTTAATGAGGTTCCCAGTGATAGGGCCCGTATAGTCCGGAGGCCATACCTTCCCAGGTATCAAGTAAAGGGGCTGCTATACCCCTTTGTGTTAGGGACCATGTATAAGAGCCAAATAAATATCGTGTTGCCTCAGGAAGATATCCGTCAAATTATACCCACTACAGTTGTGTTATCAATCGTGATAATACAATGAAGGTGTAATTGTATTAAGTTATGCAAGTGTGATGTAATTATGCTAATTAGGCTCGGCTTCGTTGTCTAGGGTTGTATTATCAATTGAGATAATACAATGATTCTCGCTTTAACTTTTACAGATTATGTTTTAGTGTGTTTATGTCAGGTCTCAAAATTCAGATCTCTCCACAGGAAACAGTTCTAACAATTAAGATTATTACGCATGAACTTAGGAAGGCACCACCCAGACTGTTCTGTGTTAAGCAAATTTAATATCTAAAAACACTCTAACATGCGAACACTTATGCTCGGAATTGTCAACACGGTACTCCACGAGATGTCCTACTCATTGATCCATACATTTAACCCTCAATGGTTAAGTTTGTTAAACTGGGTAACAGAACAATCAGCTAATTCCTCAGAGTAAAGCGAGGACAACGGCGATGGGAAAAAGTCCTTAAAATTAATGTGACAATATTCATACGAACAGTGATAAAGAAACAGGTGCCTAAAGCAAAAGTAGTTATCAATTAATTCATTGGTAAGATTATGCAATTAACGAAAACGAATAACTAAAATACTTCTAAACACTCTTATTCATATTCTTGGTTCTTTCGGTAAAGTCACGTAGAAGGAAAATAATAAAAGAATAAAAATAAAACAATAAAATTCTCACGTTTCGATTGCAACACAAGCAATCATCATCAGGTGTGAAAACCACAGCAAGAAATTTGAAAAAAGTGGCGTTTTTTTCTTAACGTTAGCACCACGGACAGCAACTGGCGGTTGTTCAGACGGAGGAGGGGGGAGAGAAGAATGGAATGCGGTCTGAAAGTCATCGTAAGCGTGAACACAATCAATTAAGACCCGAAATGGTTTATCAAATCCTTCCAATGATTGCTAAGCCAGAATCCATCTTCTCGGTTGAAATTGTCTCTGTGTTGGTATATGTGGATAGCCTCATGAACGAATCTCGCATGGTAGCCAGATGGCTTGCAGAGAACCTCTGTCTTGGAGAAGTCAATGTCATGCGAGCCCACTGAATTATAATAGTGGTTTGCCATGGCTGAGGTGTTGGTCCTACCATGTTTTAGGTTTGCTTTGTTTTCACGGATCCGGTCCGAGACATGTCGTTTGGTGTCTCCAATGTTACTGCTACTACAGAGGCAACTTAGTTTGTAGATGCCAGGGTACTGTATGTCTGGAATCACATCTTTTACAGTCAGGACCAGATCACGGATTTTATATACTGTGTTGAATCGGACCTGGATCTTGTGTTTATTCAAGATTTTGGAGATCTTTTTTGTGACCCCCGCAATATAGGGTAAGGTGATGTTTTTTTAATTGCTCCTCAAGAGGGTCCTTCTTCATAGTTGGAGTGATGGCTTTGCGGATTGTGTAGTCGGAGTAACCATTAGCCTTGAGAGTTTGGTGTACGTGCTTGAGTTCACAGGCAATGTGTTCCTGGTCGGAGATGCATTGGGCTCTATGGTGTAGAGTCTTGATAAGGGAATTCTTCTGGGATGGTAGTGGGAATCCGGTTTTAGGTAAGCATCCATATGGTTAGCTTTCCTGTAGACAGAGTGGCTCATTGAACCATCAGATCTCTTTTTATTAGGACATCCAAAAAAGGTAGCTAGCCATTTTTTTCGACTTCCATGGTAAACCTGATGGCTGGGTGTATGGAATTGATGTGGTTGAGGAATTGGTCTAGAGCAGGCCGGCCATATGGCCAGATGACAAAAGTGTCATTCACGTACCTCTTCCATAAGTTCGGGCGTAGAGTGGCAGTCTGGATGGCATCAGTCTCAAATTTCTCCATGAAAACGTTGGCTACAACCGGAGATAGGGGGGAGCCCATTGGGGTGCCCTCTGTTTGTAGAAAGTTCAATTCCAGGTGAAGTATAACTTTTTGGAACAATCTTATTAGTCCCGATATGCGTGTTATGTGTGTGTCTTCTTTGCCACTTGTTGAATTGGCGGCTTACTGAAAATACCTCGGGTTCCCAGCAGGGCCGCTGGGACGGCGTGTGTATTGAACACATGGCGCTCTTGCCTGCGCCAACACTCTTCCTCTTGGCATTGCCAGCTCTCTCCACTGCTGGTTGGTTGAGTTGGCCCGATGCTCGCCGTCAGCAGTACGCGATGATTCTGTCATCAGATAGCGCTCGCAGCGCGTCCGTTGGTCGCCGTTCCTCACTCTTGTCTTAGTTCCCAGCTGCTGCTTGTCGGTGTGTGGGTCAAACCCACGGTGCTCTCGCCGGCGCTCTTCTCTTCCTCCCGGGTGGCTGGTCAGACTCTTTCCACTGCTCCGTGCTCTCTCCCTTTGCATGCAGCTGCCAGCTTCGTGCAGACACCCGGTGGTGCCTCTCCTGCCCTTACTTCAGGCTGCGCCAGCTGTCTCCATTCTCTCTCCACTGCTTCGTGCTCTCTCCGTGCTCTCTCCTTTATCGTGCAGCTGCTAGCTTCGCACAGACACCCGGTGGTGCCTCTTCTGCCCTTACTTCAGGGCTGCGCTGGCTCAGGCTTTCCACTGCTCCGTTCTCTCTCCTTTGGCGGGCAGCTGCCAGCTTCGCGCTGCCACTCAGTGGTGCCTCTCCCACCCTTCTTTCAGGGCTGCGCATTGTCGTTGCTCAACTTTCATGCTCTCCCCTTCTTCCAAAAGGGCTCCTGCTGTGAGCTGCTCGTCGCTGGCTGGATCACTCACTCTCAAAACTTGTAAATTGTATTAGCACACCTCTTACACAACTCTGATAGCTTGGTACAATACAACTTATTGCAATCCTTGATTCTGCAAGCGACTCATAACATAAGGATAAATGTATAATAAAACTTTCAGCGATACTCTGTTGGTCCACGCTGAACTCAGCTCTTAACAATACAGTGAGGGAAAAAAGTATTTGATCCCCTGCTCATTTTGTACGTTTGCCCACTGACAAAGAAATGATCAGTTTATAATTTTAATGGTAGGTTTATTTGAACAGTGAGAGACAGAATAACAACAAAGTCATGAAAAACACATGTCAAAAAAGTTATAAATTGATTTGCATTTTAATGAGGGAAATAAGTATTTGACCCCTCTGCAAAACATGACTTAGTACTTGGTGGCAAAACCCTTGTTGGCAATCACAGAGGTCAGACGTTTCTTGTAGTTGGCCACCAGGTCTGCACACATCTCAGGAGGGATTTTGTCCCACTCCTCTTTGCAGATCTTCTCCAAGTCATTAAGGTTTCGAGGCTGACGTTTGGCAACTCGAACCTTCAGCTCCCTCCACAGATTTTCTATGGGATTAAGGTCTGGAGACTGGCTAGGCCACTCCAGGACCTTAATGTGCTTCTTCTTGAGCCACTCCTTTGTTGCCTTGGCCGTGTGTTTTGGGTCATTGTCATGCTGGAATACCCATCCACGACCCATTTTCAATGCCCTGGCTGAGGAAAGGAGGTTCTCACCCAAGATTTGATGGTACATGGCCCCGTCCATCGTCCCTTTGATGCGGTGAAGTTGTCCTGTCCCCTTAGCAGAAAAACACCCCCAAAGCATAAGGTTTCCACCTCCATGTTTGACGGTGGGGATGGTGTTCTTGGGGTCATAGGCAGCATTCCTCCTCCTCCAAACACGGCGAGTTGAGTTGATGCCAAAGAGCTTCATTTTGGTCTCATCTGACCACAACACTTTCACCCAGTTGTCCTCTGAATAATTCAGATTTTCATTGGCAAACTTCAGACGGGCATGTATATGTGCTTTCTTGAGCAGAGGGACCTTGTGGGCACTGCAGGATTTCAGTCCTTCACGGCGTAGTGTGTTACCAATTGTTTTCTTGGTGACTATGGTCCCAGCTGCCTTGAGATCATTGACAAGATCCTCCCTGTAGTTCTGGGCTGATTCATCACCGTTCTCATGATCATTGCAACTCCACTAGGTGAGATCTTGCATGGAGCCGCACGCCGAGGGAGATTGACAGTTCTTTTGTGTTTCTTCCATTTGCGAATAATCGCACCAACTGTTGTCACCTTCTCACCAAGCTGCTTGGCAATGGTCTTGTAGCCCATTCCAGCCTTGTGAAGGTCTACAATCTTGTCCGACATCCTTGGAGAGCTCTTTGGTCTTGGTCATGGTGGAGAGTTTGGAATCTGATTGATTGCTTCTGTGGACAGGTGTCTTTTATACAGGTAACAAGCTGAGATTAAGAGCATTCCCTTTAAGAGTGTGATCCTAATCTCAGCTCGTTACCTGTATAAAAGACACCTGGGAGCCAGAAATCTTTCTGATTGAGAGGGGGTCAAATACTTATTTCCCTCACTGTACATCATTCCTTTTCTCTGTGAGACACGACACCCATGGTTGATCTCAAGGCCATGCCCCGGAGCCTGCTCCTTGCAGACTAAGTTGCATGATGTGTCCTTGCTTATATGTGAAATTCTCTTACCTCTGCACGTCTCTTGCGAAAAAAAAACAGATGCCCTGTCTTGTTCTCCTCCCATGGCCGCAGCCGCCTGGTTGCCCCTCCCCCCTTTTTTCCTTTGACTGGCTGCTTTCCGTCACCATGTTTTTTTGTTTGCATCCCCCCCCCTCTGCCTTCGTGGTGTCTATCTCAAGGAGAAGCCCTCCCTTCATACATAATTTATTGCTTCCATGTGTTGTGTCGGCTCCTAGAAGACAAAGGCAGTTTTGGAGACTGATTTTATGGAATATATATTATCTTGATCGTGTGTGATTGACCTGTTTTGCATTGTATTTCTTCTGGATGACCCTCGGTCTAATACTTCATAATTTATTATTTGGTTTATGTTTAACCAAGATTTGTGATCTACCATAGTTTTTACCACAGGTATTCCGAGGGTTTTATTTACATTTGTTCCCCGTCTGTATCCAGGGATCAGTGCTTTCATTCTCGAGTTATATTTTGATATCCTGAGGTTGGAGATACAACTAAGTTTTGACTTATGCTTTCGTGGCTGCCGGAATTAATGTTCTTTGGTTCGTTCAGTAAAGTCACGTAAATAGAAAGATACAATAAAAAAAACAATATATGCGGTGAATAGTAAAATAAAATAAGTAATAATGTACTGGCAGTCTATAATGTCGATTTATTCTTGTCGCTAAGTTTTGAACTTTACCGTTGTAAAAAAAAAACGCCAGTTGTAATGTCCGATTGACCCTGCTCTGCGTCCGTGGAGATCTGAATGGGGTGGTGCAACGACCGTGTCAGCAAGTTTCGATTTGAGACCAGGCTGTTCCTCCCGCGCCAGCGAGTCTGGAGATTTGTTTGTGAAACTGTCCAAAACGTCCGTGGAGGTAGTGTCATATGGTCTTTTGACAATCTGGAGATTTACCAGATTGTCATTAACCTCTCTTTGCACTGGGGTTTATTATTTAATGGCTCTTTATGACCTCCTCCCTCCAGTTGCTTTAATGTGGCAAGGCAGCTGGGGTGTGAGGGGTGGGGGTGTGCCTCACCCTTTCATGCCCCATGCTACACCCCGATTGATTATTAAAAAATAAATATTGGCAGAATTATTCTTAATACACAATTTTGGAAAAAGGCCTATATATACAACACAGTAAACTTCAAACCAGCAATAGCGGCGCCCGGCAAAATGTCAGGCGTTGAATTCACAGCTTTTTGCACATGGGGGCATGCCATTTAGATCACTGCACCACCGTGGGTCGATGTTATTTTGTCAACAGCATAAACTAGCAACCAAGCACATGTTTAATTTGTTTTACTGCATCATTAATCACACGATCTGTGTTCAATAGGTCCATCGTCCTTGTGCTTCTTCTTCTGTCATGAATTCCTGCCAACGAGCAGACTTATTGTAGGAGAGCAGCAAGTTGTCAAAGGTTCATGTCATAATTCTTTCGCCAATCCATGGCCTCTGGGGTGAGGTTGTGGATGGCTTCTATACCTCCTTCATTTTGAGGGTCATTTTTGTTCTCTGGAGAATGTGAGCACCAATGGCGTCCACTGTGACTCCTGGGGTTTGGGAGGCTGTTGATTTTGCAGTACCAAGAGTGCGGAGCAGGTTCCAGGCCTTGCAACTGGAATCTGTGAAGTCCAGGCCCTCTGCTGTACCACACTGCTGTTGGCGTCTAGCCTCATTTAATAAGTCAAGCGGAGCTTGATCAATGACCGGGTCATTGTTCTGCTCGTATTGCTTAAAACATTTTATTTTCTTTGGTGCAACACGGAATGTAACACTTCTGGTATCCCCGTGGGATGTGTTGTTTTGCTGCAGTCTTGTATAGTTTACTGGTAGTGCTGGAATACGGCGTACTGTCTTTTTGATGATGGCCATATATTATTTTCAGTCAGTTCTCCAGAAATTCCATTTGGGCTTCCAGACAGCGGAATAACGGAAACCTCTATGCCGATTCCGATTGCTGGCTCATTGGAAAGTGCTTAAGCACTCTCCATTTGGCACGCACTGGGAGTCCATTATTGTCGAAATTTGCGAAGCGGAGGTCTAGAGTGTACGATCGCCATGCTGTCGCTGCGCCATCGTCTGCAGCGGCGGTGGCATCGTCGTTGGTAGCTCTTGCATCATTTATATGTGGTCGTGCGTACGCTGGTGCCTCTTCCAGCTGGAGCGGTACGCGAATCCACGGCCACACACGTCGCATCGGTGTAGGCGCTCGCCCGTGTGGGTCCGCCGGTGCACCTTGAGGTTCGAGTGCAGCGAAAAGACACGGCCGCACACGTCACAGCTGTAGGGTCGTTCGCCCATATGCGTGCGCATGTGGAACACCAGCTCCTCGTAACTCGATAAGTGCCGGCCACACTTCGCGCATTCAAAGCGCCGTTCCCCACCCCTGCCGGCTCCGACACCGCCGATGCCAACTCCACCACCAACGCCGACAATTCCGTCGCCGGGCTCCCGGCTGCGTCGTCCAGCGGCCGCGGTGACGACGGCTGCGCGCCAGCTGGCGGGGCTTGCGGTGGTGCTAGTTGCGGCACAATCGGTGCTAACCCGGTCTTCGCCCATCACCTGGTCGAATTGGTTGGGATGAGGCACAAGCGATTCTGCTGGTGTGTGTCTATCATCCAACAGTTTACCTAGAGGAGAAGATTACAGGGCCAGTGTTAATTTTGATGAATTTTGAGCCCTAAACCAAGCACGGGCATAGACATGTTTATATTTTTACGCTACTCACAAGACACAGAACCATCGCTGAAAATAATTTACACCGATCATGATACGGTGATACCTGAAATATATACAAGTTACCTGTTTGGATGATAGGTTTTTATATTCTGCGTAGGAAGTTGTCATGCACATTCTGCCTTTTAATGGGTCACATGAGAGTGAAGACAGGTTGAGTGCAAGTACAAACGATCCAGGGAATTGTGTAGCTACATGGCTTTGCCGCTTTTTACGAGTTTCGGTTTGTACCATCATGGATATGACTTGGTGTTACTATAATGGTCGTCCCTCTGAAAATGTATTCTTGAGAGAAGTTTGTTCCTATCAATGTCAACCACACTTTCATCAATCTCAGATTCTCAGTGAAAAACGCTTTACTTATATGCACAAACATCACCCCTTAACTTCCATTGCCTGTCCCATCAAGAGTCATGCCAATCATTAGAATTTTTGGATAATAGAATTGAGATCAAGTATTGCACTTTTCTCACTAAGACATTACTTATATGGAATCGTTGGCGTAACTGCTGATGAGACAGCCAATGTGGGTTTAAGGCGCAGAGGTTTAAGCCCTATGTATATACAGCCCTTTTACCAATCGACTGCTGGATAAGGGTCTCCTCAGGGTCATCAGTTATTTAACTACAGTCTGTTTTCCTATAACGTGTGTTTTCATAACGTGAATTGGATTTAATGCGATAAATGTATGAGGCAACACAATTTTATAACACGGATACGAATTGGATATAATGCAATTGAGCGAACAAAACTATGTCGTGTGAGTAGTAATAAGCGGTTGTATGGCCGCCTCGGCATAGCATCACAAGGTCGGATGCTGCTGGTTGCTTCCAGACTTCAAATTAAAAGTAATTCTGGTTCTTTATTTGAATTTCTATTCAATATCCAAAAAATAAAAAAGATAGTCACAACTAAAACATTGGTTTTAGTTGGCCATACAGCATTTGTAACATATTTACATGAAACAAATCTTGAGCTGCACTGAAATCCAACTGCGTTCAGCAGTGAAACTCAATTTAAAATAAAATGAGAAAATTAACACTGGACAGTTCCCGGGAGGATGTCTACCGTGGACATGGAGCCATGAAATCAGCTCGTATGCAGGTGCTAGGTAGATTGATTCATTGCAGGACCATGAGCTACGGCGATGACTTTGGGAGGCCTTCATCCAACAGTGATGGATAAGTTCATAGTTAATGACAACCGATCATTTAAACTTCAAGATCCGACCATGTTCGTTAAGTGCTCGCCGAGCTGCATTGGCTTCCGGCTGCTGAATGAATAGGTCGCACTCATTACACACAAAGTGCTTGCCATAAATGAACTCCAATACATTGCTGATCTTGTCAAGGAGCATAAACCATCATGCGAAATTAGATCATCCTTGCAGCGGCTTTTGTCAAGCCATCGAACAAAGACGGTCGCTGCATCGCGCACTTTCAGATGCGCTTCTGCGGCCGTCTGGAACGCTATTCCTTCCGATATTAGGAAACCACTGCAGCTATGCACTTTTAAATCTCGATTGAAAACGAATTTCTTTAGAACTGCTCTTTGTGTCTATTGGCGTTACTACCACGGTTATTATTCCCATAAAATGTATTCATCGATTTTCCTCCACCCATGTTGAGGACTCGGTCAGCATTAATTTGTTGAACCACTGTACTGCAGGTCAAATTTCTTCTCTCTTTGCTTCTTTCCTCACACTGCTCGATTTTGAAATTCCATCCCATCATCTCTATTACCAAGTTCTTATAACCTTGCTCAATTCAAGAACCATATTAACTCTGATATTTTATACCTTCAATAGTGCTGTTTGTTGCTGTTCGTTTGACATTTTGGACCTGTGATTATCAACCATGGTTTTAAAATAAACTCACTGAGACAAACAGGCTCTGTTACGATGAGGTCACAGGCCCATTTGTACAAAGGTTATGAAAAAATGTTGGCCCTGATATGGTTGTGGCTTTCCTGGATCGAGCCCAATCTTGAATTATATTTATACATCAATCTGGCCCTTGCCTGCAAGCTGGGATCCGCTGTTTGCTGCGGTCCCTGCTGCCACTGAGTGGTGGGCTTCCGTCTCCTCCCAGCGCAGGCGGCCGCTCCCCTCTCCTCCCAGTGCTGCCCTCGACTCCTCCCCTGAGACGCGGACAGAGGCAACAACTGAGACAACGGCACCCGGCTGTCCCTGAACTCCCACTCCTGACCTTTGACATCAACATCCCCCTTCACCACCAAGAATGTAAAGTTAAATAAGGTAAAGGGGCAACCCTCCCAAGTACTTGCCCACTGCCAGCAGACAGCTCCTCCAGAGGGGATATTGACCTACTCTTCCACAATGGACAAATGTGTTGTGCTTTAGCCCACTATACACAACCTGCTCATCGACTGTTGTGTAACCATCTACACCACTGCATAGCTTTGGGTTGAAACTGGTGAGCTCTGATTTAAAGTCAAGTGCAAAACACTACACAAGGGCAGAATGCACCAAGAATGCATGTTTGCTAGAACATACAGGGTGGTTCCTCTTTGGTGCTTGTTTGACCCAGATTTCTCTTCAAATGGTGAGAAGATATCTCGATGGACTCACATGTATATTGTATAAAAGCAGTTGTCAATATGCTGTAGCATGAGGGCCTTTATCACAGGTAACCTGGTGCCTTAGAGATCAGAGAATTGAGTTGGCACTGTCAAGATCCTGCATTCCAATTTGGGTTTCGCCCGCCCATGATTAATCAGCCACACATCATCACACATACTTTAGTTACTTCTGTCAATGCATGAGGACATACAAGCGTGGTGACATTAGGAACAAAAGTTTTTCCAGGTTGAAAATAGTTTGTTCCAGAACCAAATTAGTGTGGCTAAGATGCTTATGGTGACAATATTGTTTTTGGTTCATTTAAAAGTTTTAGGCCTTAAATGGCCTTGGGCCGCATAAACTTAAGGTGCGGGCTGGGTCGTAGGTTCCTCATCCCTTACTCAAATTAAGACTTAAGATGAACACCGAAACTCTGCACGCATGCTTGTCAACAAACACCTTTATAAAACAGTACCTTCAAACGTCTCCAGTTTAATGTTGTGAGCCACGCCATTGGGGCTGTTCCCGTCAACAGCTGTGGTTGGGGTCTGCCGAGGTTCTTCTGCCAAAAATCATGACAGTGAAAACACACTTAGCCCATGGGGAATCCAGAGACCGATCAAAAAAAGAAAAGTTGATTCCTGGATTCTCATGAGTGGATGACCTCAGCCTGGTTACCAATGAGAAAAAAATATATACCAGAACATTGGTTTAAGAGGTGGCTGGGTGGCTCAGAGGTCAGAGTGCCAAGCTGGCATTGCTGAGATCCTGGGTTCGAATTCAAGTCTCAGGCTGCTGTGATTAAACTTGGTTCTCGTGTATAGTTAGTTGATGGTTTCAGCCTGGTTACTAATAACTGGACAATACACCCACAACATTCAATTTAATTCTTCATATTATTTGGCTAAATTTCAGCTTTGAGAATTGTGTCATGCGATGAAAATTACTCTCTGCAGCAGGGCACGTGAGTGCTGCCCACTAATACGTTGACCAGAGGTCACTTGAAGGGATGATAGAGTTAGCTCTGTGATTTCCGCTTCTGTGGGCCATTCTCTAACAAGGGTTGCACTTCTCTGTGAGAAAAAGGGAGTAATGTTCATAAAATACCACGGAGTCGGACATACTCAGACGACCTAACTTTTTAATCCATGCTGGGATGGTGATGGTGAATTAAGTTTCGTCTATGTGTCAAACCAATGGATTATTCCACGAGCATTTTTTTTCTAAAACCTACAATTATCTTTAAAATTACACTACGTACAAATAGGAATGTATGATTAGGATGGTATTGCCCGTCTGGTGAAAGTGTAAGAAAATGTAAAAATATTTTGTCACGCCATACCGGACAGGTGATTGTAGTCGTGTTCACCGTGGTCTTCCATTTGTGTTGGCGAGCGGTGTTCAGCTTTAACAAACACTGTGGTGGCATCTAAAGCAATAACACAAAATCCATTTTGAACATGAGACGCGCAATGGATTCTTATAACGGATTCTTATGCTCATGGGGTAAATCGTGGGTCGTACATGAGTACACGTTACTTCGTGTATTATTTAACCTCTTCAAAAAAAAAGAAAAACGCCACTTTTTTCAAATTTTCTTGCTGTGGTTTTCACAGCTGATGATGATTGCTTGTGTTGCAGTCGAAACGTCGTGATAAATTCATTGTTTTGTATTTTTATTATTTTATCGTTTCCCTTCTACGTGACTTTACCGAAAGAACCAAGAATATGAATCCCTGCAGTCACGAAAGCTTTAAATCAAAATTTATACCAGTATATTCTTAGCTCAACATGACTTTACCGAAAGAGCTAAGAATATGAATTACTGCAGTCACGAAAGCTTTAAATCAAAATTTATACCAGTATGTTATACACACTGAAAGTTGTGACTCTAAACTTTGACAACTGAGGGGTTTTCCAGGAAACAAAATCTACAACATCTTGTTTTGGAGAAAAAAAGTTTTTTTTGAGTTGGTAAATAAACTGGATGAACAAAAATTTGTAATTCATTCTTCAGCCATCTGTGGAAGGATTACACGATGAAAAGTGGTTGTTAGGTGTTCCAATGAAGATAGGATGGGTTATATTTAATACATTTTCAAGAGGGTGACTTGACACTTGATGGTACTTACCCGACACTCGTCAAATATTTACCACTCACCTAACACTCACTACTTATTTCTTGCCAATTCAAACAATATAGTGGGAAACCTATTATGTATTTTTTCCGTGTCATTGACAAATGTGTTGAGTTTTTTTTATATAAAAGAGGTTAAATAATACACGAAGTAACGTGTACTAATGTACTAATTAAACGAAATAAGCATTTGTGATTAAAATGCTCACCCACCTGCCCCAATGGCACACAGCTATGAATTTTATGATTTTAAAATCAGGTGTATGGGGGAATCATTGCACATGGTAGAGTGGAAAAGAAATGCTGGGGCTAATAAGCCAAATTTATCAGGTCAAAGGTCAAATCTTTCCATGATTTTTCATAAACTCCATATCATGACCTTTAATGACATCTCAGTTTGTGAAATTGGTGGAGTGGCCTAGGAGTTCTTAGAAAAAGATACATACATACAGATTATCCACTTAATTTCCAGGATATTGCTCACTGAATCATGGACAGTGATTTTGTATATCATGAATATAAATAAAATGTGGTTCTGTGTTCTCCAATTCTATTCTAATTGTGCTATCGTCATCACGCTGAAACAAAAAATCATTTCAGAACTCTCCTAGAGCAGTGCACCAACCCGTATTCGATAATGGCCAATTGATTCAAATATTACAGGTCTACCTCTGAGGTCCCTTCAGGTGACCTCTTATCCACATTTTCCCACATTTTCCCACATTCACTGTTACAGTGAGAACATTTTATGGAATGGCAGTAGAACTAATAAATTGAATTTTCAAAGCTGGTATGTTTCCAAAGCAAAAGGCAACATTTTATATTATTTGGTATAAACATTGGTGACGAGGCTCAGACCATCAGCATGTGAAACTTGAGAACCCAGTTTTTAATTGCGTGTGGCTAAAATCTAAATTCGAAACCAGGATGTCAGCAATGCCGGCTTAGTAGAACTAATACAGAGAGGATATCTACCGTGGACAAGGAGCCATGAAATCAGCTCGTGTGCAGGTGCTAGGTAGATTGCCGATTTGATTTTCAATGCTCAAGAGTGTTGGGTGATGCTCATCTGAAACGCACCTTTATCTAAAGTTTAGTCCATATTAGGTAATCTTCATGAGAGTTAACATGCTACTGCGTTCCAGACAGAAACAAGACAAAGTCTATAGCCTGGTCTGTGTGGACACTGTTGGTGCTCACTCACCATAGCCTGAGTACTCATCCTTCACGCTTGCCGTGCCCTCCTCCTCATCAGCCACCCTGTAATCAGATGCGAGTCCCTCCGGTTCTGGCGGGGAGTCCCCAGAAATAACCCGTCCATCTCCTCCATTCCCACTGCCAACACCGCAGCCACCGCCACCATCACCACCACTACCACCTCCCAGCCTCCGCATGGACAGCAGCAGCTCCCGGCTCAAACCGCTGAGCAACGCGAGCAGCACTTCCACCAGCCCTCCCAGCGTCACGTCACCAGGGGAGGAGGCGGCCGCGTCGTCGTCCCAGCGTGGTGTCCTGTCGCTGTCGTGGGGCTCGGCGCCCTGCAGGGCCTTCACCACCTGCCGCAGCACGGCGTAGAAGCCGAAGGGCAGGCGGTCGCGCGCCGCGGCCAGCAGCTCGGCCCGCACGAGACCATCCCTGACACAGGCGCGCAGGACGCCGTAGTCCCGGATTCCCAGCTCCGAGTCCATGGCCCGGGCCACCTCCGCGTTCACGCCCTGCGTCTCCAGCCATGTCGGGAAGTCCCTGCTCGGCTCCAAGATGGAGGCGATGGCTGGGACGGATGCCACCGCGCACGCCATTCCTCACACTGTGAGAACAGTTATCAAATGGTTAATTTTAGGTGATGGGTGGTGGATGTTTAGAATTTTTCTCTCAAATGTGTTTGGGTTGTACCACGTGTACTTTGGCATATTTTATATTTCGCTCCACATTTTGGGAGCTTCTGCAGGAACTACATTTATCTGCTCAGCTCCCAGTGCTTGGAGCAAAGCGTCGGATATTACGCTAAACAACATGCAATACAATTCGAAAATAACTGAGCTCTAGAGCTCAAATTGAACGAAACATTGTCAGACTTTGTTCTCTATTAACTTGACAGCTGATAGTTTGCGACCTTTATCTATCCACTGCTGGTTGAAGGCCTCCCAATGCCTTCGGTCAAGAGGATGGTTAACCATACTGTCACGCTGGTCATTGCGACTCAGTTACGGGGGTGGTACCCAGGACTGGGTCAGATATGAATCACTGATGTTAGCCATGGCCTGAAATCAAACTCAGGTTGTCAAGTTCATAATGCAGTGTGCTAAACCGCTGTTGCCACAGCTCAAACTCAAATACTTGTGCACGAAGTAAAATAATAGTTTTTCCCTATTTTTTTCTGGCAACAAAACTGAAACCTTTTTACGAAGAATCATGTTTACATTAACCACAATACCTGCGGTTAGAATGCAAACAAAAAACACTCTGATAATGTATGCATTGTCCTTGAAATTAATTGCTCCATATCAGAGACAGCTTTCCTTAGAGCCTCGTCTCATACGGTGTTCGACCAGATGACCCCAAAAGGCGCACAACTCATAGACACCGCACTCATGGTGCACGAAGTAAGTTTACTGTTTTCGGGGTAAGGGCCATATTTGGGATATTTCGCCCATTCCATATTTTAATGTGTTGTGTATTTGATGTTTCGTGTGGTAAGCAAGGGTTGCAGCAATACAACAGAACACACCTCGAATATTGCTAACATTAAAATATAACCTGTATGAACACCTACATGCACGGCCCTTTTGTCAATTCGTTGCTGGATGAGAACCTCCCCACTCAATGCAGGTCGTGCGGGTGATTTGACCATACTTCACCACCCTGGTTGTTGCGGATTGAAGACTGGTAACATAGTACAGTGCAATGACGTGTTGGTGCACTGACCTCTGCAGTGTCGTCTATAGTGCAATCTATAGCACAGTACAGTCTGTAGTATCCATTTACAGTATATAAAAGGCAAAGCTGTGAATGTGTGTCTGTTCAAAATGTTTAGCGTACTTCCCGACATGCAACAAACTTGAAATTTGCCATGTGGGTACTTTACAGACGGTACACCATGCAAAAATTATAAAAATACACTTTACGTGTTTTTTGGTGGGGGGGGAGCTCAATAATGCATTTATTTTTTGCACGGCAAGTGAGCTGTGACGTCAAAGCTGTCACGTGACCCGCGCATGTGGAAGCGTAACGCATTGTAGTGTAGTGGTTAGCGCGCTGTGTATGTGTGTCTGTGTGTGTGTCTGTCTGTCTGTGTGTGTGTCTGTCTGTGTGTCTGTCTGTGTGTGTGTGTCTGTGTGTGCCTGTGTGTGCCTGTGTGTGTCTGTGTGGAAGCGTAACGCATTGGAGTGTAGTGGTTAGCGCGCTGTGTATGTGTCTGTCTGTGTGTATGTGTCTGTGTGTCTTTCTGTGTCTGTGTGTGTGTATGTGTCTGTCTGTGTCTGTCTGTGTGTGTGGAAGCGTAACGCATTGTAGTGTAGTGGTTAGCGCCCCGCGCTACGAACCCGGCGACCCGAGTTCCATTCCCGCTCACGACCACCACCGGTGACGACTATTTTAACCGGTCCTGGGCCTCCCCTAGGTCGACTCAGCCTCAAACGAGTAACTGGTGTGGTGTTGTGAACATCGCCACTGGGGAGACAAACGCAGCCGGGCGTGGTGCTGCCATCCACCCCCTCGTATAATCTATAGCACAGTACAGTCTGTAGTATAATATATATAGCACAGTGTACGCCAGTGTAATCTAAAGCACACGTGTAGTCAACAGTGTAATGTACAGCACAGTCTACAGTGTAATCTTGGACACTGTAGGTCACAGTGTAAATCACAGATTAGTCTACAGCGTAATCAATAGCACGGTATAGTCCATTGCAATCTGTAACGGAGTGTGGTCTGTCATAGAATCTATATCCCAGTGTAAAATGTACATTAACAACGTGGTGAGGGATGGCCAGATATTATATATATATATTTTATTTGTTTTAAAAAACCCCGCGGCGTCGGCAACAGGCTAACCGAGTGTATGGCGCGACCAGGCCTCTCCCCTCAGCTGTGAAGTCTTCCAGCCGCTCAACGAGGCGACGAGGAGACGGTGGTGGTGGTTGGTGGTGGTGAAGACGGACGAGTGAGGTAGGTGTAGGAGGGTGGAGGGGAGGACGAGGAGGAGGTGGACGAGACGAAGAGGGGAGAGCAGCAGCGAGCTGGAGACGGAGGGGGTCGCCCGCGCTCTGTTGACCCCCGTGCGAGTGCCCCCCGCCTCCAAGGGACCGCGGCGATGTGACGCGCGTGCAGCGAGAAACGCGCGCGCACGCGTCCCTCTGTCGTGGACACGCGGAGTTAGGGGCCGTCCATAAATGACGTCACGCACCTGGGGGGGGGGGGGGGTTTCAGACATTTGTGACGATGCGTGACGAGGAGGGGGGGGGGTGAGAAATATGACGTCACGTCAAAATGCGCAACTTTAAATAAATATAGAATTAATCTTCTTTGGTTCTTTCGGTAAAGTCACGTAGAATGAGAATAAAATAATAAAATAAGATAATTAAATTCTCACGACGTTTCGGCCACAACACAAGTAGCCTTCTTCAGGTGAAAGAATAGAACTGTCGGGACGACAGAGCTTGAATGAACGCTGTTAAGATTCGTAGCGTCTTTTAAGCTCGGTGAGAGGCATAGAGAGCCTTGACAAAGGAGATTACCTATCAAAGCAGGATAATTTATCATTGAAATAGCTGAGGGATTAGCTTGTGACAGAAATAGCTGTGTTAAAGTCAAAGTTTACATATCAACTACCAAAGTCAAAGTTTACATACCAACTACCAACTATCATGAAGTAAACCGATGTGAAAAAACTAAATCTATATTACATCAATATAATAAATGTACTTAATATATTCTTCAATAAGCTGAGCTATTAATCACAAAGCAACTGGGTATACACTACACTATATAATGGATACCATATAGTAAACCAATAAAAAAAAACTAAATATAAGCTCCCTCAATGTTATCAATGAACTCTATATACTCTCCAATCAGCTGAGCCACCAACAATAAGTCGTTATATATCAATGCCATATGGCGAAAAAATGGTGGGTTTTTTCCTTCCCCTCAACGCCAGCACCACGGACAGCGACGTTCAGGCGGACGAGTCAATCCATGCTCGGAACGGAGGAGGGGGGAGAGGGAAATAACTACAATGCGCTGTTATACTCCATGTTATAAACCATACCATTAACCGTGGTATGAGAAGTAGTAAGAGGCAATGCCAGCGAAAGAGCTGCGGTCTGACGGTCACCGTAAGATACAATTAATTAAGAACCGAAATGGTTTAAAACATCTTTCCAATGGTTACTAAGCCAGAATCCATCTTCTCGGTTGAAATTGTCTCTGTGCGTGTATATGTGGATGGCCTCTTGAATGAATCTCTGGTAGTTGGTAGTTGGAGGCCTTTAGCGTCCATATACTAAATGCCTCTGTTGATATGTAAACTTTGACTTTAACACAGCTATTTCTGTCACAAGCTAATCCCTCAGCTATTTCAATGCTAAATTATCCTGCTTTGATAGGTAAACTCCTTTGTCAACGCTCTCCACGGTTCTCACCGAGCTTAACAGACGCTACGAATCTTAACAGCGTTCATTCAAGCTCTGTCGTCCCGACAGTTCTGTTCTTTCACCTGTAGAAGGCTACTTGTGTTGTGGCCGAAACGTCGTGAGAATTGTATTGTCTTATTTTATTTTATTATTTTATTCTCATTCTACGTGACTTTACCGAAAGAACCAAAGAACATGAATACTTGCAGTCACGAAAGCTTTAAATCGAAATATTGAATTGTTATAACAGCACTAATTGTTATAACAACACTCCTACAACATCAGAGTGCAGCGCCACATTAAATACGCACTACAATGACAATAGTTTAAAGCAATTTGAAGCATGTTTGATTTTCAAAATGGAAATATGGTTTCGGGGGGGGGGGGCAGAGCTTTGTGACGTCATATTTGAGGGGTGGGGTCTGACTTTTGTGACGCCGTGTGACGACGGTGGGGGTCAAAAATCGTCCAAAATCGTGTGACGTCAAATGACAACTCAATGAAGTGGCTTATCGTGATGTGGAGATTTATGTCAGCCATGATAAGTACTCATTGGTTCTTTCGGTAAAGTCACGTATTTATAAATAAAATAAATCACGACGTTTCGAACGCAACACAAGCACTCGTCTTCAGGTGAAAATGTCGTAAACCACACAGCAAGGGAACACACAGAGGGACATCACACACAGAGGGACATCACACACAGAGGGACATCACACAGAGGGACATCACACACAGAGGGACATCACACACAGAGGGACATCACACAGCACACCGAGAATGGCAAACTGCACGGAGGCAAATACAGCAAGAAGATGGGAGACGCGAAGTCGGCAAACCTTAGAAACAATGCGATGCAACCCAGTCGGCCAACAACACAGACACTAAACCTGGTTGACCACGTATTTCAAAAGACTGCTAAATCTTGTGTTCATCTTCTAGGTTGAACACACCAACGTAAACAGAGGATAAAGACTCGTGAACAGACACGAGGTACAAGGTAGCAGAGATACATACACAGAAGACATGCAGGGGAAGGTGTTTAGGGCAGTACAGAGGGACACAACGAGCAACACCACACCAAGAGACATACACACATGGAGAAGCACACACAGAAAGACGCCCCGAGGGATAACGTACAGGGACTTATATAGGCTGTAGACGTGGGGGAAGGGAAGGGTAACATGCAAATACCAATGCAGGCAACAAATCGGGGGAAACACATGGGAAAACGAAAACGGAGAAAGCACATGGGAAACAAACTAAAACGGAGACACCAACCATGGTAAACGAAAACGAAGCAAAATTACAACAAGTAGAGATACATACACAGAGAAGACAACACGGGGAAATATGTTTTGGACAATTGTAAGGACAACCTCCCCGTAGAGGTGGATTAATCTAGGATTGAAGCTTTCGTGACTGCAGGAATTACTATACTTATTGGTTCTTTTGGTAAATTTATGTATGTAGAAATCAAATAAAATGTAAATATATTACGAGGTTTCAAACACAACACAAGCGCTCGTCCTCAGGTGAAAATGGCGTAAACCACACAGCGAGGGAATACAGAGGGACATCACACACAGAGCACACTCAGAATGGCAAACTGCACGGAGGCAAATACAGCAAGAAGATGATTTTTTTAATTTAAAGCTTTCGTGACTGCAGTGATTCATATTCTTGGTTCTTTCGGTAAAGTCATGTTGAAGGGAAACAATAAAATAATAAAATATATTAAACAACAAAATTATCATTAAATTATATATTTTATTAGTTATTGTTTCCCTTCAACGTGACTTTACCGAAAGAACCAAGAATAAGAAGATGATTACCGCGAACTCAGCAAACCTGGGTTGTATCGCATTATATTTCTAAGGTTTTCTGAGTTCGCATCTCCCATCTTCTTGCTGTATTTTGAATTTAAAAAAAATTAATCATTAGGTTCGTGCTCCAGTAACACCATTTTGTTACCAAGCTTGTGTAGAGACACAATTTGCGGTCTCTGCGTTTTTGTGCCAGCCACAGTTCTGGAGGGGCGCTGAGCGCCGAAAGCCTCCATTGGAGGGTTGAAGGACACATGACCGGGAGCGGGGAGCTGCGGCCTTGATACAGCAGGGGGCGTGGCCTAAGGCGGGGCGAGGCGGCGGCCAAGGGATAAAAGGGGGAGTGCCGAGGGGATTCGGGGCTCGTTGGTGGGGATCAGCTCAAGGGGTCGTCGCTCGTCGGTCTTCGCGCTTCGCTCACCGTTGAGATTAGCTGAGGATCGAGGGTCAGGCAGCATATATGCTGGCTGGCCCGTTCGTTCAGCGAACTCACACGCAGCGGACAGTCTAAGAACAGTATAGCCACACTTAACTGTAGAACCGAGTGCTCAGTGAGGTTGTTTTATTAAATGTGTTGCCTCCAGCAAATAGTGTGTGCGCCTCAGTAATAACACACTACACTTGTAGCGATGCAGCCAAACCAAGTGACAGTAATGGGGCTGATCTCTGGCGTAATGTTTCTTACGTTCATCTCAATGGTGAGTGTGTAATACAGTTTATGCCCACTACAAGTAGACGCTTTCTGCTTCTCAGCTGCTCCTAATCTCCTTCGTTATCAAACATTGCCTCCCATCATCTCTCCAAGCCTCCGATTACCATTGACATCAATCCGATGGCAAGAGCGTCGCAATTTTCCTCCTGCTGCCATTATTCCAGCACCTAATCCCGCACATTGAGTGCCTCCCCTCATCTGGGCTGGCCGCGTCCCCGTCGTATCCGTCGCCAGCACTCCACTGTTGGCCTAGCATGGGGTCGAGGGCACTGAACTTGTGTGCCGACTGCAGCAGCTCCTGGCTCAGGCTGCTGAGCGTGGCCACGATGATGGCAAGCAGCCCCCTCAGGCCCACGCCGGCCTCTTGCTCGGCGTGGGCCTGCGGGAGAGCGGGCACGCATGCCTTGATGACGCGGCGCAGTGCAGCATAGAGTGCGAAGGGCAGCCGGCACCGAGCCATCGCAAACAGCTCCAGCGTGACCTGCGGAATGGGGAGGTTGGGTTAGGGTTTAGTTCGATGTGACTGCTGTCATATCTATTTTTTTTTTATCTTACCAGGTGAGGCCCATTGAGCTATATAGCTCTTTTTTTAGAAGCGACCTGGCCACAAATTATAGCTCAAAGAAGTGGCTTATCACGTGGAAATTTATAGCAGCCAAATATTTAAATTCATGTTGATTGTAAATGTAGAGGGAAAAACCGGAGGACCAGAGAAAAATCCAGGTGACCACGGGGAGAGGGACACCGCAAATGCCAAATATACAGGCGTCAGGATCGGGATCGAACCCACGACCTCCTGCATACCAGGCTAGGGAGTTAATGCGGCACTACATATGGGGTGGAGCACCTAGTTTCTAGCTCACTGTATTTGACAGAATTCAGCGTAAAGCAGTCAGGTTTATTTAAGATCCAGCACTCACCCATTCACCCCAGTCACTCACTGGCGGTCACTTGCGTTCTTATCCGACTTTAGACGCTGCTACCATGGTCAATGTTCACGTATTTGAAATTAAGAGAATAAGCTACGCCTGACTAATTATATCCAATCACAGACAACTCTAACAAAGACTCTCTGGTAAATACAACATTTAAATCAAAGCACAATGACGCCAGTTCGCTGTTAAGAAAAAAAACATAACTTTTGAAAAATCCTAAGTTACTAAACTTATATGAACCA